TTACAAAGTCGATGTCAGCAATTGAAGCAGCAACAGTGCCTGTAAGTATTATGTTCATCAAATGCCATACGAATTCATCCATTTTACATAACTAATTGAGATGCATACCCCCACTAAAATAAGTCTTTTTGAGCAATTTGGCTGCATCTGTAGATAATAATAACGAGAAAATCATGTCAGTAGCTAGCATTTGCAATAATTGTTTCAATAAATGATACACGTTGATCTTGTTTAGGAAATAAGTCTCAACTGAGACAAGAATAAAATGAAAACAATATCAGAGATCTTAACTAAAGAAATGCTCTGACCTAAGTAATGAATTAAACGAGAATGTTTCTAAACTACAGTCAGATTTGTGAAGATTTACAGGAGATAAACCTAGGGAACAAATTACGCACCATTCCGTACAAGGAGAGCGCCAAGCCCAGTAGGATAACCAAATAACTTCATGAAAACAGTGGAAAACAAGAAAGTCAAAATCTGATAATAAAAGAGCTTCATTTATTTTGGAAAATCCAGGAGATACCTTGTAGAATGACACAACAACAAAATCTGCAGGATACTCCAATAGATCAGGTGGTAGTGTAGCACAACCCTTTGCAGCATCAATCAAGACCATCCACCGCTTGCTCCTTATAAAAAGTATATAAGCCATGATGAGAGATAAACAATAGAAACTAATATGAATGAACCTCTTCAAGTCCTATACACACTTAGAATCAACAAAGAAAGAAGAATCAAATCAAGCCAAAGTAGTTCCTTCAAAAGTTTCTTTGTGGTTTTAGGCTTGCATTATTAATGTGCACAGTTCATTTCTAGATATCACCATATTAACACCAGAAAAATCGTATCAAAAGTATATGGCAGATTCCTGTACCACTTCTCCTGTTCAAAGACTGTATCTAACTCACACTCAAAGATCATGTAAAAAAAAATTTCACAAAGCTCAAGGAGTTGAATTGCTGTAGGCATAGCATCGCCAAACCTCAGCAATATGAATCCAAGCAGACATTAAGCGGTACCAATGCAAGAAACTGAGAAAAATGAGAGAAGAATAGAGAGAATGTGAAACCTACTTGCTAAAGGGAGAGCCTTGTAGCATGATTTCAGGATTTTCTTTAATCAACTTCACCAGATCTAGATTAAACCTCAGGCCAGAAAAATTGCACTCCGAGGGGAAAGCAAATAGATTATAGGCATTTCCTGTAAACATACGATAGATTGAAACATGGATAAGCAAACCAGAAAAGTCGATTATATACCCAGAGTACAAGAATATGACATGTGATACATCTTGAACAGATTCTATTCAGGATGATATAAGAAATAACGGACCTCTTGACTCTTCCTTTTGGATTTTAGAAGTGTTTCTCATCTGCACAGCACGATGCTTTACCTTGATAGATGGTCCTGAATTTGTGAGCTGGCCTGGTTGGTTAGCTACCTCTTCAATATCCACTGCACATGCTGAAGCACCTTGAGCTAATGCATATTCCCTAATACCAAGCACACTGTTGTGATTCTCCATGGTATACAAAAAATTACTGTCTTGGGTCCACGGAAATGTCTCTCCGACAAGCTTCAGCGCTGCTGTGGCTCCGGAGGTGAATATGCAACTGTAATCTTCAGGAGATGCATTGAAGTATTCAAGCACCTAACTCCAGTGTGCAATGAAGATTGATTGAAACACATGAAACCAACTTATAAGATGAATACCAGTAATCCGAAGATTAAATAAAAAAAACTCCCCGTATTCCACATATATGAGTTCCAGAAATGTTAAGAATGTGGTACCTGATGCCGAGCATCCGCTATAAGGTCACTGGTCGCCGAACTGATATCACTTTGACTATCTAAATCACAATTAAGGAACCACTTTCAACAACCTTAGCTTATTGGAAAAAAAACAAAAAAAAAAAGGCATCATATCTAAAAAGATGTACAGAAAAGAGATTAGCTACATTCTTTTCACAAATCAACATCAAAGTTACACAGCTTCAAGTCATTAAAATCTGAGATTCAGATCTAGTAAAATGTAAAGCATGTTACGGGATTGAAAAGATGAGGATACGTGGATTTCCAAAAACGTTGCTTGTGAAGTCCTTAAAAATATTTTCCATCTGCAACTCAGAATACAAAGTAGAACCAGCATGATCCAAGTACACAACACCTGCACAAACCACAAAGAGCTTATAAGTTGCAATCTCCGATATTGAACCGGAAGGGAAATTATTAAATAAGTCCGGATACTGAGAATCACTACATAGAACATCATTAACATACAATGATCCCATTCTGGGGAATAACTGAATTGATCATATGAGTACCGATCAGTTAAATCTCTTCAATTACATTCATAAACATAAGTTACACTGTTTCCATCGAGAAACACACAAACTCAATTTCCATTCAATTCGAAACTCTGAAGTAGTGGAGCTGGTCCTCCACTGACCCAACCCAATAGTTTTTTTTAATTCTTAGAAATTTCAGCTCAAAAAGCTTAGGATTCGAACTCTATTAGATCCAAGAGAAGAACTCATAGATGATTGAAAGAACAAAAAAAAACAGACCTTTATCTAATCTCTTGAATTCGGTGTCACGGATCTCTTTGATGTTCTTGGAACCGTCTGGGTATCCATAATAATCTCCGAATTCCTTAAGAAATGCTTCCATCGCCGAAAGAAAAGTGTCTCTCTGTCTCTCTGATAATCTCAGAAAAATCGCCGACGAAAGAAAGATGGTCGTTCCCGGCTTTTTTAAAATAAAATACAATTTCCTTTTTTCACGTCAATATAATTAGATTTCCTATTTTACATAAGAAAACTAGAAAAAGGAAATTTGTAATAGAATAATATTAAAATAATAATAAAAGATGCCAACAAAAATGGAAAAAAGTAAAGAAAAAGGAAATTGATTAAAATAATAATAAAGGATGCCAACAAAAATGGAAAGAGTAAAAAAAAAAAAAGGAAATCCTAAAAGGAAGATATGGGCCTATGCTCTTAAGCCCATCATAACTAAGACCACGAGCTCTGTCTATATAAGCAGGCCTTTCGTGGATAATTCTCACAATTGCAATTTTTCTTCTTTCGCTCTCGTTTCCGTTTTTCTCTCTTCGAAGATCTTCATCTTCTCTTCAGGTATCGTTTTGTTTAATTTGTTCATTGAATTAGTAGAGTTCTTGATTATGCCCTTCTTTTGAATCTGGGTCCTTCTGTTTAGGTTTTGTAGTTTCATGACTGTGTTTTTCTTATATTCGAACCTCTCTTTTACTAAATCAAAAACTTCGATTAGGTTTTTATATCAAGCAAATCCGAAAACCCTAAATTTTTCGTTGTGTTTTTACATCTTAGGGTTTTCAATTTCAAAACTTGTATTTCTCTTTAGGATTTTACTTTTCAGATTAGGGTTTCTAATTAATTTGTTTTTTGCAAATCAAAAGCCCTCTTTTAGATTCGTGTTTTCTTCGTTTTCGAAGGGCTTTGCTTTTTACTTTCATGATTGTAGTTTTCTTAAATTCCAAACCTTGTTTTGCCAATTTGGATTTTCGATTGCTGTTTTTGTATTTCGTAAATCAAAAAATCCTCTTTGAATTCGTGTTTTCTTCTCTTTCGAAGGACTTTTACTTATTAAAAAAAATTGTCGTTAGTTTTAGTTAGTTTAAAGTTTTCTGTTTTCTTCAAACCCAAAAGAAAGGGACAACACATTAGATGATTGTGTCTGTCCGGTTTCTAACTTGGGGAAATTGTCCCGATGTTACCTATCTAAGGCAAGCAAGATGAGATTGAAATCTGCAAGACTTGTCTTATTATGTAAGACAAGCAAGATTTTGATTGAAATCTGTAGGACTTGTTAAGTTTTGTAAGGCAAGCAGATTTTGATTGAAATCTGTAAGACTTGTCTAATTATTTAAGACAAGCAAGATTTTGATTGAAATCCGTAAGACTTGTCTAATTACTTAAGACAAGCAAGATTTTGATTGAAATCCGTAAGACTTGTCAAATTTTGTAAGGCAAGCAAGATTTTGATTGAAATCCGTAAGTCTTGTCTAATTATAGTCCGATGTTGACTAACAGAAGCTAGATCATATGCTTGTCGATCTATGTCCGTAAGTAAAGGATTGGAGAAAACTATCTCTATAGTCCTATTGTCTTGCTGTACTGGGACAGCTTGATATAAATTTCAAATATCTGCTAAGATCAGCCTTTATCAAGGCTTGGACAATGATGTCCTGAGAAATTCAATTCTCTGCTAATTGATGGAGAGTAAAAGTCCTTTGATAAGGCAATTGTCCGATTAAAAATACATTGCTGTAGCTGGGACAGCATAGTCCGATGTTATAAGCTAGATCATATGCTTGTCGATCTATGTCGGAAAGTAAAAGATTGGAGAAACCAGTCTCTATAGTTCTATTGTCTTGCTGTACTGGGACAGCTTGATATAAAGTTCAAAATTCTGCTAAGATCAGCCTATATCAAGGCTTGGACAATGATGTCCCGGGAAATTCATTTCTCTGCTAAATGATGGAGAGTAAAAGTCCTTTGATAAGGCAATTGTTCGATTAAAAATACATTGCTGTAGCTGGGACAGCATAGTCCGATGTTATAAGTTAGATCATATGCTTGTCGATCTATGTCCGAAAGTCATAGATTGGAGAAACCCGTCTCCATAGTTCTATTGTCTTGCTGTACTGGGA